CACACACACACTGCCGGGTCTGGACGCTGAAACTTTCCGAAATCGCAAAAAAGTTCCCCTACCGTGTCTGTATACTTGGTGACTTTGTTCCCGGTTACCGGGTCTGTATGCACTTCGTTAATGAAATCAATAGGGCCTACAATCCTACGTCATACATAAAAAAGGCCAAGGGAATTTTGTCCTTTTTAATACATAGAAAAGGGCTCTAGGCTACGCCTACAACTACAAGAAATAATGACATTCCTTCTGTTTTGATTAGATCTAGTAGTATTTTCATAAAAAATAGTGTGGCGATTTTTAGGGGGACAGGCTTGGTATGGAATTAAGATTGGGAAAATCATTAAATTGTAAGTTATTTAACACCAGCTCTGATTTGGGTGTGAAAAATGAGTCTTGGCCATGTGGACTGAGTTGGCCTTTAGGACTGCAATGCCCTGTTTGCTATTACCATGATTACCCTTTCTTGTACACATTGAACAAGATCTACTGATTGTCTTCACAGCTAATGACAGTAAACCTTTCATCATGTCTCAGTAAGATACGTGAATAAATTTGCAAAATTGTGAATGGAGATTACCGACATCTCTACAGTAATTTATAAAGTGAGTTAAAATATGTTTTATTGATCACTACAAAGAGAAATTTGCTACAGTATGGATAGTAAATTACACACACACACACATTCTCACGCATGCACGCATACGACACACCCACGCACACATAGTTAAACAGTTATTGAAAGTCTTATATAATATTATTAACAGTAGTGGTAACGTTTAGGGTTTTGGACAGGATGGGAATGGGATAAGAGAAGATGGGTTTGTCCTGTGTTTGCCTCTTCCCTGTATACTTTTGACCTAACTGATCAAGATTTTTACAAAATTTCTGATGGTTTACCTGTCTCAGCAATCTTTCTCGTAACAATTTCCACCTGTTGTTCTAAGACACACCCCCTGGTCCCAACAGTTACTTTTATCTCTCTGTCAGCTGTAACATGGCTAAAATTCTGTTCCATTTATCAACCTAACCCCTCATTTCTATTTATTCATTAGAGTAACTAAGCCAGTCAAGTTGAGTCAAGATACCAGTGTCAGATACTAATAGAGAATGGTTTATTTTTAAGCATTTAAAAAAAGTAAAGTTTGCTAGTTTGGGGCAATGTTTCAAATATTTGTTATGGTTGGAATTTACTCCTGTAAACTAGAAAAACATCAGAATGTTTACCTTGGGTTGGTACTGTTGTCTTTGATGAAGGTCCTGCAGCTTGCACTGCAGTCAGGAAAAAAACAAGATTTGAAGTGTTTGAGAGCGTGCCCTTTTACTCTCACACACTTCGTGGACCTTTATTGTATGGTTTTTCTTCATTTGGAGTTGTGGTAACCATGTGTTTCCTTTTTTTCCAGTTCAAGATGCCGTCTGACGCTAAGAAAAAGAGAGATGCCAAAAAGAAAGAGGCGGCAAAATCTCGCGGACAGAAGAAACCACAGAAACAAGATGAGCTTGACGCTGAAGAAAATGGAGAAAATGGAGTTAACGGTGAAATGAATGGTGCCTCAGGTTAGTAGTGTCTCCGGCACACCTGACCAATCTGGCTAGTTGTTAGAAGAGCTGTGAATAGAATGTTTGGTGTGATTGGTTGGTTTGAAAGAAATGAAATGTGTTTTTCTGGAATGCTTTACCTAGTACTTTAAGAGAGATCAAATCTTTTGTTTCATTCAAACGTCAGCTGAAGTCATTTCTGTTTTTAAATTAATAAGATGAATATTTGGAGAGATTTTCTTTTAGTCAGAACACAGCGTTTTATGTTATTGTTGTAAGTTGTACTGTATTATAAAGCGCTAAGAGCCTGTGTACTTTGATCAGGGTTGAGCGCTATATAAATGTAATTTATTATTATTATTATTATATATATTATATATATGGTCCTTTAGTTGCTGTGACTGATTTATTGTCGGGTGAGGTGATTCATGCTGGTCTGTTACACAGGTCGTAACAGTCTCCAATCTGAGACAATGTTTTGTCTGCCTTGTTTATATTTATAACGTTAGGTTTTACTTTGTTGTTGTTGCTTTTACAATATGGACTTTTTTGTCTTTTCAACGCATACAGATGATAGCGCGTTGGCTGCCGCTGTGGATGAGCTCTCTTTGGCAGCCAAACATCGTTCTTGCACAGGTGTCTTGGCTTCTCACACAGACAGCAGGGATTTACATATTCATAACATGTCCATTCTGTTCCACGGAGCAGAGCTCCTCATGGAGTCTACTCTTGAACTGAATGTGGGACGACGATATGGACTTATTGGTCTCAATGGCTGTGGTAAGTGTTAGCTCTTGAGTTACTATTGTTTTAATGGATATAGAGACAGTTAACTGATTCCGTCCATGATTTTTTCAGGCTCTGGACAGAATTATTTTTCCCTGTTCAGTTTTAGACCTGGGGTGCATCTATTTAATGCATTACTGTGAAGCTCTAAGTCACTCTAATAGGTATTGTCATATACCAAACTGATGGGAATAAATAGAGGAATGTGTTTATATCAATAACAATGACCTATAATCTGTTTGTACTTCATTTTCCTTCAGACAAAAACGAATGAGAAAAAAAAATTACGCAACAGCTCTTTGAAAATTTCGACTTACCGCAATTTCTCAGCTCTACAAGTCCTTATAATCCATAGGAATCAACACAACATTGTAGCGATATCACCCTAGCACACATTTATGCAAGAATTTCACAAATTTAGTTGAATATCTTTCTTCGAAGGGCCTTTTTATTATACCAGGCCCCCGTGTTGTTTACCCTTAGATCTAGCCTACATTACGACAACAAAACAACGATTTTGCAAGAATTTCGCGGAGTTTCGATCAATATTGGCGCTCAGAGATTGAGATCAGGTTTGTTTACAAGTTATACTTCTTTTCGACAACTTAAAAAGTCGAAACTATGTTAAAAAGTGCACATTTGTTTCGGATTTCGTTGAGCCGCTTACAGCGGTTGAATGGACGTAGCAGAAAAACTCGGAGCTGAATGGACGGAATCAGTTAAGTCCCAGGTCCTATTTATTCAGTTGAATAAATGAACTTACTTTACTTTACCAATCCAGCGGCCATTTGGGTCCTAGTCGTTGGGCCTGTGTGAATAAATGAACTTACTTTACTTTTCCAATCCAGCGGCCAATTGGGTCCTAGTCGTTGGGCCTGTGTGAATAAATGAACTTACTTTACTTTTCCAATCCAGCGGCCAATTGGGTCCTAGTCGTTGGGCCTGTGTGAATAAATGAACTTACTTTACTTTTCCAATCCAGCGGCCAATTGGGTCCTAGTCGTTGGGCCTGTGTGAATAAATGAACTTACTTTACTTTTCCAATCCAGCGGCCAATTGGGTCCTAGTCGTTGGGCCTGTGTGAATAAATGAACTTACTTTACTTTACTTTACCAATCCAGCGGCCAATTGGGTCCTAGTCGTTGGGCCTGTGTGAATAAATGAACTTACTTTACTTTACCAATCCAGCGGCCAATTGGGTCCTAGTCGTTGGGCCTGTGTGAATAAATGAACTTACTTTACTTTACTTTACCAATCCAGCGGCCAATTGGGTCCTAGTCGTTGGGCCTGTGTGAATAAATGAACAACAGCCAGAAAGACCAGAACCCTATAGTCTAGTTACTTCCTCAGATGTTTGGGTCTGGAACTAGTACCAAACATCAAGAGTGGTGTCGGTAGCCTACTGGTTATGCTACCGGACTCACAATCGTGAGATTGCGGGTGTGTCCTTGGGAAAGGCACTTTACACGAACTTCCCACTTAGCTCGGTTCTATCGGAGACGGACGTTAAATTAGGAGGTCCCGCCTCTTAAATAACCTAATAGTGTTGATAGGGGCGTTAAACTCATACCATTTCACGATTTTTTCACCAAACTTCAATTCTAGATATGAAGCTAGACAAATATAATATGTACTTTTAAAAAGAATTGAAGAGAGTAATAAAGTGGTTGTGCTTTAATTAAAGTGAGTGAAAACTTGTTAATGCAATTAAAAAAGGTATTGCCTTTTCTCTGTTTCTGCACACCATTTGCCATCACCTGGACTTAACCTTGGGGGAGGGGGAGAAAGAAATGGTTTAGATTTGAAACATTTATCAACATTCAGTGATCTGCTGATCTGTTGCAGGTAAATCTTCCCTCCTGGCTGCTTTGGCGGCCCGTGAAGTACCTGTTCCACACCACATTGACACCTTTTTGTTACGTCGAGAGATGCCTCCTTCCAACAAAACTGCCCTGGAAAGTGTAATGGAAGCTGATGAAGAGCGACACAGACTGGAGAGAGAAGCTGAAGAACTGGCTCACAACCCAGACCCTGGTAAGAGGAGATGTCCAAAATAGACAGAGAATGGGCGCCTGGGTTAGAGCCAGTGATAAGCTGACAGAAATTGTTCAGTTTCTTTTTAAATGGGCTTAAAAAGACTTTAAAAAAAAAAAGAAGCAAGAAAATAGATGTGTCTCACAGACATAAACTTGTTTTTTTTTAAAGCTGATTTCAGTGCCCTGGAGCATCCTGTTGGAGGTTTGTTAATATTTGGAAATATTTAAATACTTTGTTTGCTGAACTATAGTTTTTTTCATACACTCAGTTGTTGGACACTCACATTTTTCACTCCCTGCCTCGTCTCCTTCTACTCAACTGCTGAAAGTAATAAACAGAAAGTGCTCTCAGCTGGCTTCATGAGCTCTGTTTCACTGCCTTCAGTGGTCGGTGCACACAGATCGCGACCTCAGTGATTTCTTTTCGTATCTCTCCATTTTTATTAACAGTGAAAACAGTTCATTACAAAGAGAGAGCTTGAGAAGTAGTCATATTTTCACTGTTTAAAAAAATGGAGATATGACAAGAAAGCACTGAAGTCGCGAGATGCTAACGATGCATGTGTTTACTAGAATGGAAAGGAAACAATCATACTCTCAGACAATGAAAGAAAGATAACTCAACCTCGTCCTGTTCTTTCTTTTATGTGGAGCTCTTTGATAAAGACTTTGAGATGAGAAATAAACAGCCAAAAATGCTGACACAGATCAGTGACACGTGGGCATTTTTTTTTTCTTCTGCAGAGGCTCATGAGAGACTGATGGACGTGTACGAGAGGTTAGATCACATGGATGCGTCAAAAGCGGAGACAACTGCCGGTAACATTTTGCACGGCCTGGGATTCTCACGGACAATGCAACATACAAAAGTATGCAAGGCTTGTTCACAAGTTACAATTCTTCCATTGTCCTTGTTTCAGTAATTGTGTTGTCGCTGGATTCCTGTCTTGTGTTCTGATTCTAGCGACCTAGCATCTAAAAAAACGAAGTCTCGCCTTGCTGAGACTCTGGGGCCGAGATTTTGATTAACATAGTTATTGTAAAATTCTTCTTCCGCTTGATACCGAAACAAAATTTTTCGGGCTAGTAGTTTAAGTATTAGAGCCGATTGAAGTGCAATAGCGTTTCCGACACTTCGAAGGTGTCTCAACTTGTTGACAAGCAACACAACTGAGTGTTAAAAAGGAAATAACAATGGATTGGAGCAAAAACAAGCATATATGACAAATCAGATGAACCAGCTATTGATGAAAGCGTAGCAAGAGTTTGGGTCAATTCAGATTGATCAGATGTAGAATTTAGATCTTGGGCCCGACCGCGAGGCTGAGAGTGAGAGTGACAGGTTGGACACCCTGATTTAACTAAAAGTTACATTTCCAACATTTTGCGCATTCATAAAGTTATATTTTTCTGAAACTAGATCTATATTCATTTTTCTTTCTTTTATTTTTTCAGGATGTTTGAAATTTGATTAGTATTTTCAAAATGTGTTTTTTAAACGCTTGTATTCACGGGAGGTGGGTTCCTTCCCCTTGCTTAGGATCTAGGAATGGACTTCCCGTCCGGACCCTTAAGGTGTAATGTGTTTAGGATTCTCTCTCTCTCTCTCTTCTGGCGCTGTGGCTTCATAAGCGGTCAGCGATGCCGACAGCACGCAGGAACTCAACACTCGCCCGGGGGTCCTTAAAAAGTGCTGAGAGTGGGTTACTGAAATGTCCCAGCAGACGGGTTCTAGCACGATAGCTGGCGGGACACCTCAGGAACACATGGTCCATAGTTTCGTCCTCCTCCTTGCAGGCTCGACAGGACGGATCTGGGTTGTCTGCTGGCGCAATTTTGTGGAGATATGATCTCAGCTTGGGCGATTTTCCACCAGTTCTCATTTGGGAGAGAAGCCGGCGGTCCTGTCGTCTGAGCGAGGCCTCAAGCTGGAATGACGGCGGCTGGGCAAACGGCAGTTTGGGTTTCGCCTCTCTTTTCCACTTTGCGCGGATTTGTTTAGGATTCCAAGGGTTATGGTGTTGCTCAGATCAATGCTTCTGGTCTCTTGGGTTGCCGTCTCGTTGGTCCTCCTTCTTTCATAAAGGAATTATTTTGTTGTATCGTTTTTGTCTCAGATCAAGCAGTGCAGGCTCCCTGTCTGCTTCTCTGTCTACCTCTGTTTACTTTTTGAATGGTTGTCTAAAGTCTCTTTTGTGGGTGGTTGGTGGGTGCTCTGGTGTGGTTTGCTCCTTCTTTCCTATCAAACATCCGTCGTGCTTATCGCCTTTCCTTTTTTGTGTATGTTACTCTCTTGTAACACATATAATCTATTCTTCAGCACTTATATGACCTTATTGTGTTGCAAGTGCCAAAAAATTTCTACTAAAACTAAGTCTCTTTTTCCTCTCTGATCTTGGGTATTGCTTGTGGTTTCCTCTCTTGTCTGTCCTTACAGTATTGATTATTGTTGTAGCGGTGTGTGTGGACAGCCTGTTACAGGAAAAAGTCACACTGATCATAAATGTCAAAGGTAGGGAGGCTGTTGACATAAAGCAATTTAACTGTATAGTCCTCAGGGATGCACATATATAAATGTGTGTGCAGTTGCAAACACCGTAAAAACCTTACAACTACTGGATGCACGGCTTGTCGTATAAACAGGAATTTTAGCTTTCAGTTCGCTACCGTAGAATTACAAAGTTTTATCTGCTCAGACTTTACCTAGTCTTGAGAAATTTGATGTAAAAAAATTCTGAGCTTCCCAATTTGTCAAGGTTTTTCTAATCCAATTATTTGAGTATCTTGATAATGACTCCAAATAATCTTAGGATTTTGATGGAGCAGATTGAATATTTGGTTCCGACTTCGGGGTTTAGTAAATCAAAACGGCAAAAAATGTCATATCCCCCGGGGCGGTGCTACTGACTGAAGTGTCTTTAGGCCATTCCCAAAGTGGGGGACATTGACATCTTGAGTTCTTATGCACAGTAGAATTGTAATTGTAAATGGGCTGATTCATCAATGTCATGCTCTAACTGTGCCTGAACTGCAGCAGGGAACTGCTGCTTTTTATTTCTAAATCCTTACTATCGTCATTTTTCCTCTACTTTTTTTGTATGTTTGTCACACTCTTGTGACCCGCTATTTCCGGGGTGCCTTGATATTGGAAGCAGACTTTGTGCTTTTGAAGCTAGAGAGGTGAGCCGAGTCGCTATTTCCGAGGTGCCTTGATAGTCGAAGCAGACTTTGTGCTTTTGAAGCTAGAGAGGTGAGCAGAGTAAGTGATTCCATGTTAGGACTTCTCTGCTGACATCCACACCTTGGCGCTCATATGACCTTATGCAATTGCGAGCGCCATAAAACCTCTACTAAAACAAACAAAAAAATGTCAGATACAACTTTGTAATTCAAAGGTAGTGAACTTTGTGTTTGTTAGATGTCCTTGTTTTTCATTTTTCTTTAATTCTGTTTTTACCAGGTGAGTGATTTCTCTGGAGGTTGGAGAATGAGAATTGCTCTGGCCAGAGCACTTTTTATACGACCGTCCTTGATGTTGCTCGATGAACCTACAAACCATTTAGACTTGAACGCTTGCGTATGGCTGGAGGAAGAACTGAAGACGTAAGCTCCTCACAATGTGTTTGCTGTTTCTGTGTTTGTGGAATTGGGCTGTGGGTGGCTGGCGGGTGCTCTGGTGTGGTTTGCTCCTTCTTTCCTATCAAACACCTTTTTTTGTGTCCTTCTATTTTGTGTTTGTTTCTCTGTTGTAACACCTCTAATCTTCGATGACCTTATTGTGTTGCAAGTGCTGTGAAACTCTTACTAAAACTTGAACTGGATTTAGCAGCTGTCCTGCTTTTGCTGGGCAGCATGTTTGTCTTTTCCATGTGCAAAAATGTCTTTTTGAATGGATGTGGAACGGGTGGGGGTGGTGCGATTGTTAGAATAGTGTGTACCCAGGTGGAAATAGGTACCCGCCCATAGACAGCGGAAGACCTTGCCATATGTTAGTGTTTGAGCGCCTATAAATGGCTGCTTGCACTGTATGCTTCCCAGGAAGTTGAGTTTGTTTCAGAAAGCTCTCAGGTCTGCTGGGAGTAATAGTATAGATTGTGAAGCACATAGAGCTTGCTGTTGAGTGGGGATTTGCCCAATACAAATGCTATCTGTTGTTATTATTACTACACGATTACCGCAGATATGGACCAGGAATTATATTTTTTTGGGTGGATTGGAGTATTTGGCTCCATACAGCACAACTCACAGTGGTGGAGGGAAGGTATATGCTGTGGAAGTGATTTGTAACTTTTTAAAAAAAACAACCAGACTGTGTGACGTGTTCTGTGTTTATATATGCTTTTGTTGAAAATGTCCTAAAAGATAAAAATCGTTGACTTGGTTGGAGAAATTTTCTGTTGGCCCAAATGATATGACCTGTTTGTCTGTCTGTCTCTTTTTGCAGATATCCCAGAATTCTTGTGATTATATCTCATTCCCAAGATTTCCTCAACGGTGTTTGCACAAACATCATCCACATGCACCAGAAGAAGCTGAAATACTTTGGTGTAAGTCACAAGTTTTTGTCTGTTCTGTGGATGGTTGGCGGGTGCTCTGGCGTGGTTTGCTCCTTCTTTCCTATCAAACATCTATCATCCTTTTCTCCCCTCCTTCTATTTTGTGTTTGTTACTGTCTTGGTAACACTTCTAATCTTCGGCACTTATATGACCTTATTGTGTTGCAAGTGCCGTAAAACTCTTACTAAAACTAAACTTGTCTGTTCTTTAGAGTTCCTCTTGGGAGGGGGATAAGTGTCCCGTGTGATATTGTTTGTTGAGCTCCCGATTCATGGGCTTGCACGGAGGTGCGGATTTTAGGTAGTACTGAAATACTGATACATCAGGCACTTAAGGCACACAGACCTGTGGCCTAGACCCAACTGTCAGTCTTATAGGTTCAAAGTGTTCAGTGGGAAAGTGTTTTGTTGCAATTTTGTGACGTATATCTCATGTTTGGGTTTTGTACCAAAAGAGGTCTCAAGCACAGTCGGAAAACCTGCTTTCGAAGGGTTGATAAGTCTTATTATTCCATTAATTGATACGCCGTTTAGAATTTTCTCAAATGTTACTCCTTGTGATATATAGAATGAATTGTTGGAGAATGATGACAAAAAAGGCCGAGTTATAGTTCCGTAGCTCTCATGTTCTTCTTGTGCATGATCGAGCTGGGATCGATGTTCAAAATCCTTGAAGCGATTATTCAACACTGACTCCAACTTAAGTACTGACTTGCACGTTTCTGTTCTCCCTTTTCCACTCTACCTACGATCAATGTGACAATGTCTTTGTGCTTGCTTTGGATGGGTTTCTGCGTTTCGCTGGGTTCGCCAGGATTAATAACTTCATACACTTCTGTTGTGATTGAATTTTTACTTTTACTTTCAACATTTGGTGTCCCTTGATATTGTTTTTTTTTTTTTGTAACCCTGAGGGCCCGACCCTGATTGTACCGGTACCCCCTCCCCCCCCCAAGTTTCCGATTCATGGGCTTGCACAGAGGGGCAGGTTCCAGGTAGTACTGAAATGCTGATACATCAGGCACTTAAGGCACACAGACCTGTGGCCTAGACCCAACTGTCAGTCTTATAGGTTCAAAGTGTTCAGTGGGAAAGTGCTTTGTTGCAATTTTGTGACGTATATCTCATGTTTGGGTTTTGTACCAAAAGAAGTCTCAAGCACAGTCGGAAAACCTGCTTTCGAAGGGTTGATAAGTCTTATTATTCCATTAATTGATACGCCGTTTAGAATTTTCTCAAATATTACTCCTTGTGATATATAGAATGAATTGTTGGAGAATGATGACAAAAAAGGCCGAGTTATAGTTCCGTAGCTCTCATGTTCTTCTTGTGCATGATCGAGCTGGGATCGATGTTCAAAATCCTTGAAGCGATTATTCAACACTGACTCCAACTTAAATACTTACTGACTTGCACGTTTCTGTTTTCCCTTTCCCACTGTACCTGCGATCAATGTGACAATGTCTTTGTACTTATATATGTATGTGGATGGGTTTCTGCGTTTCGCTCAGGATTAAGAACATCATACACTACTGTTGTGATTGAATTTTTACTTTTAAACTTCTACTCTGTCATTCCATTTTTCACAGCATGACCGTTAATGATAACATTTCAATGGCAGTTAATGAATTTTGATCTGAGTTTGAATTTGTTATAATGCGAGATATCATCTCATTTTCCTTTTTTAACTGATTTAAGAAGCTTTATTTTTCTTTTCAAAATCAGCGTTAAAGTCTGTCTCAATTTTGTTGTTGCCCTTGGAATGTTTTTCCTTTTCGCATGGTTTCTTTGAAATGGTCAATTGTGAGAGTAAAGTACAACCCATGACATTTAACTTTTACATCTGTATAGAGGGTTTTTTGTGGCTAAGTAATAGTTTTGTTGTCTACCATCCCCAGGGCAACTATGACAGCTATGTACAGACTCGGTTTGAGCTGGAGGAGAATCAGATGAAGAGGTACAAGTGGGAGCAGGATCAGATTGCCCACATGAAGGTTAGTGCCGAGTCACAGCAACTGGTGGGTGATTGGCGGGAGCTCTGCTGTGGTTTGCTTCTTCTTTCCTTTCAAACAACTGTCATCTTTATCTCTCCTACTTTTTTTTTGGGTGTTTGTTACTCTCTTGTAACTCCTCTAATCTACGGCGTTTATATGACCTTATTGTGTAGCAAGTGTTGTTAAGCTCTTACTAAAACTAAGCAACCTGTCTGTTTTCAAACTTGTGAAAGGAATATTTTGTGTACCGTACTCTAATACGGGGTGCTTGGAACGAGCTGGGAAGGATGGCCCTGGACAGAGATAAATGGAAGAAATTTGTATACTTTGGCTTATACCCTGCAAGGGTAAAACTAAACCTCCTTTTTTGTGTTTGTTACTCTCTTGTGACACCTCTAATCTTCAGCACTTATACGACCTTACTGTGTTGCAAGTGCCGTAAAACTCTTAACTTACTAAAACTAAAACGCTCTGATTCTTTTTGTTTGATCTCAGAACTACATCGCTCGCTTTGGTCACGGCAGTGCCAAGCTGGCCCGACAGGCTCAGAGCAAAGAGAAGACGCTGAAGAAGATGGTGGACAGCGGGCTCACAGAGAGAGTGGCGTCTGACAAGGTTGGTGCTTTAATCTCATGTTTTACACGCCGGCCTATAGTATTATTTCCCCCCCCTGTCCAGGAACGCAACACATCCCATTAAATTCCTACCTAAATGGCTTGCTGTCTTGGACAATTTTGACGGCAGTCTAGATCCCATTGTTTCATCCATGTTTGGGAAGAAGGGATGTGCTCTCTGTCTCCTGACGCTGTGGCGTCATAAAAGGTCAGCGATGCCGACAGCATGCCGGAACTCAAAACTTGCTCGGGGGTCCTTGCAAAGTGCTGAGCGTGGGTCACTGAAATGTCCGAGCAGAAGTGTTCTGGCACGGTAGTTGGCGGGACATTTCAGGAACACTTGGTCCATAGTTTCGTCCTCCTCCTTGTAGGCTCGACACTTGTTGGGGTCCTGGTTTTCCAGGTGGGTCGATGCATTCTGCAGCTGTTGTCTTGGTTTGTCGGTTGTTGACTGACGTCCCTCGGCGGCAGAACTATCTTTCAGGTTCATTGGTGCTACTGACTGAAGTGTCTTTAAGCCATTCCCAAAGTGGGGACATTAACATCTTGAGTTCTTATGCACAGTAGAATTGTAATTGTAAATGGGCTGATTCATCAATGTCATGCTCATTACTGTGCCTGAACTGCTGCTTTTTCTTTCCAAATCCTTACTATCGTCATTTTCCCTCTACTTCTTTTGCATGTTTGTCACAATCTTGTGACCTGCTATTACCGGGGTGCCTTGATAGTCGAAGCAGACTTTGTGTTGTTGAATCCTGAGAGGTGAGCAGAGTAAGCCTGATTCCCTGTTTGGACTTCTCTGTTGACATCCACCCCTTGGTGCCCATATGACCTTATCCAGTTGCGAGCGCCGTAAAACCTCTACGAAAACAAAAACTGAGCTGTCCTAGTGTCGTCTTTACTGCTTCAGAGCCCAACCTGTTGTATGTCTTGTCCTCTTGATGGTGAATGTTGATGACAAGTGACACCCGACTTAACATGCATGGAGCTTACAGACTATACTTAACCCTGTCCGTACGCCTGGGGTCATTTTGTACCCCAGGGGTTGTATTCTTCACATTTTAGAATAATTTTAGTGCGAAGATCTCTTTGGAACTTCCAGTATTTCTCAAAAAATCATTTTGACAGACTGCTATGCAAAGCATACAGATGAATTAATGAGTAAATTTCCTCTTTGGAAATTGGTGGCACAGAGTTCCCCACGTCGTATGGATACGATTGTAAAACACAACGTACAGATAAGGTTAACAGTCATCATCATCATTGCCATTTTCACCCTGCACCAGGGTATAGGCCATGAACAAACGCTTTCCAACTGAACAACGGTGAAATGAAAATGATTTCAGGACAGAGAAGTCATTGCAAATCTGAATTGAGTAGATTAAAATGTTTATTTATTCAGGTATTTTGCGTTTGTAATGCTTTGTGTGATAACAGAATTTGAACCAGCTCTACATGAATGTCGCCCCCTTTTTTTTTCGCGCTAATGAGACTTGGTGTTTTGTTATATATTTATTTATTTCAAAGAAAATACAATTGCTTGTGTGTGTGTTAAGTGCATATTCTGGAGATCACTTGTTTATAATGTTCTTTGTTTGATTTTTTTTCTTCCCCCGTCAGACCGTGGCTTTCTACTTCCCTAGCTGTGGGGAAATCCCTCCACCTGTCATCATGGTGCAGAATGTCAGCTTTCACTACGAGGAGGGGAAGGTATGTGTTGCATTGTTCTTTCATCTGTTATTGCAAAGAAGTGTTAGGTTCAGTATGTGGGCAGTTGATGGGTGCTCTGGTTTGGTTTGCTTCTTCTTTCTTGTCAAACATCTGTCGTCTTTATCTCCCCTCCTTCTTTTTTGGGTTTGTTACTCTCTTGTGATGCCTCTGGTCTTCGGCATTTATATGACCTTCTTGTGTTGCAAGTTCCGTAAAACACTTACTAAAACTTTTTAAAAAATTAGTTTTGTTACTGGGATTGTCTGAGCTTATCAAAATGGGATGGAGTATCGGTGGCCTTCCTGGGTAACATTGACTGGCAAGTTTTGTGAGTCTGCTTATTTCTTCTTCTTCTTCATTTTATAAACCCTGTTTTGTATTAATTCTGGGACTGAATTATTAGTGTGGATCAAAATTAGATAGACTGTTGGTGATCTGATTGGTTGACAGTAATGACTCTCAAGTTTTATCAGTCTGTCTTTCTTCTACTTGTGCTGCATTTTATAAACCTGTTTTGTTTGGCGGGTGCTCTGGTGTGGTTTGTTTCTTCTTTCTTATCGAACGTCTATCGACCTTATATCTCCTCCTCCTTCTTTTTTGTGTTTGTTACTCTCTTGTAACACCTCTAATCTTTGGCACCCATATGACCTTATTGTGTTGCAAGTGCCGTAAAACACTTACTAAAACTTTTTTTTTAAAAACCTGTTTTGTAATATTTTTTCTTGTTTGCAACGTTTCAGAGGCACATCTACAGGAACTTGGACTTTGGTGTAGATCTGGACACCCGTGTTGCCCTTGTCGGCCCCAATGGTGCTGGGAAGTCGACATTGCTGAAACTCATCACAGGAGAGGTAAGTGGGTGGTTGGAGGGTGCCACTGGTAGGTCCTTTGTCTTTTCTTTCCCCTCTGTTACTTCTTCCCTGCACTATAGGACTGTTTTTGTGTCAATGTTCTCCTCAGACATGGGAAGTAAGCAATGCAGTATCTCTCTCTCTCTCTCCCTCTCTGTGTTTGTGTTGCAGAGTATTTTTAAGTTGTTGTTACAAATTTTATAAAGGTTTGTTACATTGTGATGAAAAATAAGCTTTGTAATGAGCCATATCAACTATCACATCTGTATATATATATTTTTGCTATTGCAAAAAAAAATAAAAAAATGAAATCATGATGATATTGTGAATTTATAGCACCTTATCCCTAGAAGGTTCTCAGGGCAGTACAGTTTGACTTGAAATTGTTTTACATAGCTTTTAAAGCCAAGTTAAAATGAAATAAAGTTCAGCTTTTCTGTTGCAATAGCAATAGTACGATGTCTGAAGGATGGGTAATGAACTCAATATCATAATCACAGATGTCCTTGTCTGCTGCCATTCTCTTTGATTATAATGTACTCTGCTTCGTGTGAAGAAAGTCCACAATATTTCCTAAGGTCTATTTCCAGCTTTAAAAAATTGGTCCTGCACTGTGTTGAGTTGCTCACGGTAATGACTTAAATGTGTGACTAACCTGATTTTTTGTGGGTCTCTTTCTTTTTTACATCATCAGCTCATCCCAACTGATGGTCTGATACGAAGACACTCTCATCTGAAAATTGGTCGCTACCATCAGGTAAAGTTTGCTAAGTAGTGAGTGGGTGGTTGGCGGGTGCTCTGGTGTGGTTTGCTTCTTCTTTCCTATCAAACATCTAACGTCCTTATCTCCCCTTCTTCTTTTTTATGTTTGTTACTCTCTTGTAACACCTCTAATCTTCTGGCGCTCATATGACCTAATAGTTGCGAGCGCTGTAAAACCTATACTAAAACAAAACAAAATGGGCTGATTCATTGATGTCATGCTCATAACTGTGCCTGAACTGCAACAGGGAACTGCTGCTTTTTCCTTCCTAATCCTTACTATCATCATTTATCTTCTACTTCTTTTGTATGTTTGTCACACTCTTGTGACCCACTATTTCCGGGGTGCATTGATAGTCAAAGCAGACTTTGTGATGTTGAGGCTAGAGAGGTGAGCAGAGTAAGTCTAATTCCCTATAGGGACTTCTCTGTTGTCATCCACCCCTTGGCGCTCATATGACCTTACGCAATTGCGAGCGCCGTAAAACCTCTAATGAAACAAAAACAGGATGTAAGGGACTTATCATAAAACCATGGATGTTAATGGAATTGCCCCTTTCTGCCGATAAATCATACATTGAATCGGAAGAGAATTAAAAATTTCCCAGCACTGAAATGAGAAAATTTTCACGTTTTGTTCCACACAGCATTTAGGTGACCAGTTGGAGCTTGATATGTCTGCCCTTGACTACATGATGAAGTGTTACCCAGACATCAAGGAAAGGGAAGAAATGCGCAAGATCATTGGACGGTTTGGACTCACTGGGATGCAGCAGGTTTGTCAGTTTTTCTGTTAACCCTATCCGTACACCCTGGGGTCATTTTGTACCCCCAGGGTTGTATTCTTCACATGTTTTAAATACTTCTAGTGCGAAGATCTCTTTGAAACTTTCAGTATTTCTCCAAAAATCATTTTGACAGACTGCTATGCAAAGCATATGGATCGGATTAACGAGTAAATTTCCTCTTTGGAAAGTGGTGGCCCAGAGATTCCCACGTCGTATGGATACGATAGTAAAACATGACTTACGGATAGGGTTAAGTGGTGGCACAGAGTTCCCCACATCGTATGAATACGATAGTAAAACACGACTAGACCTGCATGTTTGCCGACAATCCTCTGAAATCCGACAATCGCGACCCGACCCGTGAACCGGCCGATGCTATCGCTAGGCCCACCTGTATCAGTCAATGTGCGTAGTGCGAGGCCTGGCCGACTGCCAATGACCCCTTTTTCTCCCGTCGGCACTTTCGTTTTCGTGCCGACTGCCGACGCGCGCATCGCTGACTGCCGACGTCGGCGTTTCCGACATAATTGTCGGAACCTAAGTAGAAATGCGAATACGAAAAAGGACGACAACCTAAATTATCTACTTTCAGTTTCGTGCTCGAGCGACCATTTTGAATTTCGTTTGTTGACTAATTCAATTGTTCAGATCGTGTGGATTCATTCAAGTCCGACTCTCTTGTTCTAATAGAATCTAGATCTAGATCTAGATTTATATAGATCATTATAGACCTCAATGGAGGATTCATATTCCAATTCTATTGTGTCAAACCTTATCATAGATTGTGCTGTAATATTAATATTGGTAAAATTAAGCATTTCATCAGGTGCGTGAACTATTTATTTATTTAGATCTAATCTAGAAAAATCTAGATATAGATTCTTAGAATCTAGATGTAGATCTATATGAAGGATTCATATTCCAATTCTATTGTGTTATTGTATCAAACCCTATAGCAATGTAGCTGTAAGCCATATAGATCTAGAATCTAGATCTATATGCTCCTTGTTTGTTTTGGAGTGTGGTTTTTTAATTAAAAATTTTTTTTTTTTCATATTTAGGACTTGTTTTGGCCTTTTTACATGAGGCCCGTTGCAGGTTCTTTTTGGGGATAGGGTTAGGTCTCTTCTTTATTGTGTTTGTTGGGGTGGTCGCTCGTTACTCGGATGTCCTTCCTTGGCTTATGACACCTTTTTT